CTCCGACGAATTTTAATCATATCAGTCATATGGGTCCGGGTAACGGAATACAGGTAAGTTATTTTGAGTTTCCTTTTTTTTTTGTTAATATATATATTTTTTGATATACATCTATTTTATAAATGTCTTATATTTTATATTAGATTCAACGATTGTTAGACCTGCCTACTACACTTGAAACAGCTGATCAACAACATAGCGGTCATCACAGTAGCTCTCATCTTCATAGCAGCCAACAAAGAGTAAGAGTATAATACATCTTTATGTATTTCTAAAAATATCAAATGTCTACTTACATTTTTTTTCTTAGTTGTATAGTCCTGCAATTCAAGCATCAAGTAAACCAGCGCCACTACCGCCTAGGCATCCACCTTCTGATACCCGACGTCTTAGTTCTCATATATCTAGAAATTCCGGATATTCACCGCATAACGGTATTTATATACTCAATCGTATTGTATTTTATTCTGTTACATAATTTTATTTGAGATATCTTACATCACATATAAAATCTTTTCTTAGGTTCAACATCATCACGCAGAGGACCGGCACCACCACGACCAACTGCTACTCCACCTTCGTTACCCCGTACTCCTGTGGACCAAGTTGATTCGGAATCTGTGCATCTACGATCGCATACTCCACTTTCTCTTGGTAGCATCGCATCTTTACACGACAAGGTATTACTTTTTTCTTATTAAAAATATTAACCAAATATAAAGATGATATAGATAGAGAACATTCAACGTGTTCTAAAAAGTTTAGAGAAATCATACTTTTAATAAATACATACAATTTTTCATTAATGTAGGAACACACCTCTGGTGGAAGTCCTAGACATTCAATAGCTTCAAACAACAGTTCAAATCCATCGACGCCACCAAGTCCCGCTCATGATCATGGTTCATCTTCATATGATTCATAAAAATTAATTTAACACTTCTCATAACATTAATAACTTACTGTAATCGCGTCTACTACCTGAATAATAGGATTACAGTATCTATGATAACATTTTTACATAAAATGATATCCGTATTTGATTTTTAGCTGGAAAGTTATCGTATTTATTTCTTTCTTTTTTCAATTTTGTGCAATACATTTTTCTAACCTTGTGCATTATGTTAATTGTATTACAAACGTCTAACAAAAGGCATAATACTCGTATATACAAATGAATTAAGAAGTTGCATGTTTTAGTTATTTAATTCAATAATCAATACAAAGATTTCATAAATATATTAACATTGATTTTGGTATCTTGTTGCAATAACTTTCTGGTTTTCAAGAACTTATAACATGTTATATATTTAACAAGGGAATTTACAGTTTATGTAATGATAAATTGTAAATAATTTATGTTCGGAAATCAATGAATCAGCTTTACGATGCCATATATTACCAAAGTAGGTATCGTTTTAATTTCCTCTTTTTTTTTCGGAATTTTAATACGAATACTTTGCATAATTTTAATTTTTGATCATCGTAATGAACTACCTTAAGTTAATAAAAATTGAAATCTCAGTCAAATTATCTAGCAATAAAAAATTAATCTAATTAATCTATCGTACCTACCTTTTGAATCTAGGTATAAATAATAGTTTCAAGTAAATTATATACTTAGTCATTCTTAGTGACAAATGAATTCAGTGGAAGTGAATCGATCTGATGCCTTATGACTAAATATTTTCTATTGCGTCATAATGCAGTAAGGTGCATCATTTTATTCAGCATGTGAATAGTAGAAATAATCGTGCAATGTATCTAAAGCTCCTGCTAATAAATAGCTATTAAGCAAGGCGGCTATATACTTTTACATGATATATGAGTATTATATTTGTGACAGTAAAAGAGTGTTGAATATTGATTTGTCCTTACTGCGACAAAAACTGATTTCTCGTTTATAAATGTACTGCTTTCTCTATAATTAAGGCTATAAATATCATTGTGGAAACTCTTTTTTTTAATGCATATACGTATTTAAAATTTGTCAGTCAAATATTAACAAGTGCAATGCATAATGACTGAGAATAGAATTGAAACAAAAACGGAACGACGATGATTAAGTATCGTTTATTTCAAACCATGAAATTCTGAAATCCTTATTTATATTTGCAACAATCTGAAGAAAGTGTTAAGAAAGATTACACTACAGGATTACGCAACATCTTTAGTACTTTTATATTAAAAAATTTTAAAACTATTAAATTCACAAAAAAAAGAATAATGAATTATTATGAAATTTTGAAAAAAGTATTACTTGATGATTAATTAGTTACATTTAGTTCTTTTTATAGTTGTAAGACTAGAACAAAACAAATGAAATTACAACAAAGATGAGAACAAGATAACAAGTTTTATATGTTTTAATGTATAAAATATATACATTTTTCATGTACATTTATAAAAATTTGCTAACTATACTAAAAGAGGAGAAAAAAGAGTTGGTAGAACAAAATAATTATCTCAGGATTCTATGCCAGTAGTTAAAATATGAAATAACATTTAACGGTCAAGAATCCCGAGTTGCTCCATTCTTACTCAAGTAATTATGGATTGAAGATGTTTTATCTTCATATCCCTAAACACGGCATACAGTAAAACAAAGAGCCAATAACTACAGTATGGATTCAATTCTTGCATACACGAAAATAAAGTGCATGTAAAAAAATAATGCTGAATCATGCATTTAAATTTACATATATTTATAATGAATTTTAATGAAAAAAGTTTAAAAAAGTATCGAAAAGTTTATGAAATATTGAAAATGTTACGGTAAAATATTGATACGCTACATTCCGAGCAATTCTTTTTTATTTTCATAAAACAATGACAAATATACATGAAAATCGAAATTCCAACTCTTTAAAAAGATCATCGTTGATGGATATAAAGTTAGCATAATAACTATAACATGCGTATAATACCAAAAAAAAGAAACTTGAAACGACTTTATCACATTTGTGTAATGGTAAGACATGAAAATATAATTATAAAAGAAATATATATCGACTGCAATAGGTTTGACATTCTTATATTAAAAATATAGAAGAAACCGTTAATAGAAGAAAAAAGTGTTAATGTTATCAGACAAAGAATGTAATAGTACAGATATTGCTGTCCATACCAGAATAAAATAAAGTTTAAAAATGAATTCTAGAACTATTCTAGAAATGTCATCGTATGTTTATAAATTGTAGCAATGTACGTGTTATTGTACTTACCAACGAAATTCAATGATTTGTCTATTATCCGCAATTGTTACTTAAGGGTTCTAAAATCAAAGATATATCTGTTTGTCTTATGTTGCCTTGTATCTAAACCGAGTTTGTTTATAAATAGAACATACGAAGAAATAGTCACTTTGTATAGCATTGATTTTATATTTTTGTAAATAATTCAATTTCTAAATAAGGTTCCAATTTCAATTTGATTTTAGACCCTTCGAATCTTTCATTTTCCTTCTTTTTTTTAGTCTGCACATATATGAAACTGAAATTTTGAGTACGTCGTTTTATAACATGTAAAAACTGTGCTATAATTATGCTTTTTTTTACGCATAATCAAAATGTACGACTGGCATTCTGCACGAAAATAGAATGATTATATGTATGCATATACAGATTTGTATGATTCAATAGTTTACTTTTTTACGAGTTGTTAGAATATTTTATGTAACAATTAATAATGATTTATGTATCCCATTGGTTTAGTACCAGTGCATGTAATGACCTGATTATTAATCTTTTTTTTTAGCAACTTAGTTTAGCGTATTCTATACTATGGATTTATTTATAACTAATATGTGCATTATATTTACGATATTTATTAAAAGCAATTGCAAGCAATTATTTGCATTTTGAATAATGAATTGTATCTCATTGTATATTATTTAAAGTGTGTCATTATATTAAGAAGTACTTACATTATGGTAAAAAGAAAACCAAATTCTTATGTTTGTAAGATTTCCTCACAAACATTTTTTTTGTAGATTTCATAGTATTTATAATTTTTGTTTTACATTTTGTTTCATACAAAATCTATGATAAAAGATGAATATATTCCCTTTCTCTTAAATTCATTCTTCACTGAAATAATAATAACTTAATTTTTTTGTAATAAAGAATTATATTAGTAAACTTGATGTATGAATACAATATAATTAATGATTAAAACTGGTCTTAATTTTAGGTATTATCATAATTAACAAAACAAAATAATAATTATTAGAATATTTATTTTTTAAAATGAAATCATTAACAGTAAGACAAAGGTCCCTACTGAAACAATAAACTAAATATCATTATAAAAAAGACCATTTAAAAAGATACGTAAGCTTTTGTACTTATATTGTATATTGTGCTTTATATGCTTCATTATTTTAGTATTCTATATCGCATAAGTAATTCATTTTATAACTCTGTATCAATACAATTATCAGTGAGGAATATAAAACATAACATGTTTTAGTCTATAAAATATTTATGATGACTAATTATTTTTAATACCTTTTTTTGAAAATATAATACATATATGTATATGAAGAAGACATTCTTTTTTAAACATATGTCGTACAGAGACGCACGAATTTAAATTTGGTAATTTCGTGTAAATTAGTATATTAAATAATTCTATTAATCCAAATTAATTTTAAATCTAACTTCAAAAAAAGCTTTCTATAATATAATTATATAAATAAAGAGTAATTAATATTTTTGTTGACTATTATATTAGATGTAATTGTTATATATCCGAAATTGTTCTATAAATAATTCATTGAAAGATATTCATATGTTAACATTAAATATAATAATTTTATGATTGATAACATCTATGAATTTTATGCAACATGTCACTTCCTAATATTAGTCATTAAAACAGAATTAACAAAACATTGAATTGGCACTAATTGTTACTTGTTTTTTGTGTTACATTTTACAAATATGATATATTCAACAGAATTTTTTTGTATTTATATCATATTCGAATAACTTTATGAATTTTTCATTTTTTTCAACATATAACATTATAAACTTGGTGTCAACAACAGTTTTAGCAACATTAGTAATGATTTGTATGTCATGAATGTTTAAAAAGAATTCATTAGATTTTGGATCTAGCAAATGCTTCCAAAATCACAACATTATATTAATTCTATTGTTCTATATTGCGCAAAATTCAAAATTACCTTTGTGGAATGTGATATCCATATAGTGAAAAACTGTTGACTCAAAATTTGAATTATAAAATTATAAATATGTTCCTTATAAAAGTATTTGCACAAAACATATTTTCATTAAATCATAGATGAAAAGTAAGTTATTCTTAATTTATTTATTTTATATGAATGTTAATATATATATATATATTATATTATATATATATTATATATGTATATTACATTCATTCTTCATTTAAATTTCCTAACAATATTAATGGCAGCTGTACAGAGAGGTGTCGCATGTATACATAACATAAATAATTATTTAATATCCAAGTAAACCAGGTTATTGAATGTTTAGAAAAACATCACTAGATAATTCTAAAATATAATTTGAACGAATTGTATGTTTTACAAATATTAATTTTGAAATGCGATTTGAAATGACAGATATTACATGTATAAAATCTAATTCACAAAAAATTTCTTAAAAAATTAATGTGATTAACTAATAAATGAATACGTTCCAGTCTCTTTATGCCTTTGTTTTATACGTAATTATCTATTAAGTGTATACCTATTAAATTTCGATTGTGTGATACAACAAAGAACACACGCGACATTGTATACTGCCGTCCAGAATTTAAAAGACGACATGTTGCAAGAAAGGCATTTTTTCAGTATTATTAAGTCACCACTGGAATTCTAGAGTACAATATGAAATTTGTACCTCATCTTGACGGTTTTGTTTCTCGGATTCCACGGTCTTGGCGATATAGTTACTGTCACGATAAACTTCCTTTGCGCATAAACTCTCTAAATGGTGTAACTCCTATGACATTTTAAATCTCTTCGTTTTAAAAAATTGGCCAAATGTTACAAGGAAGTATCAGAAGACGTACTTTCAGAGGATGTACTTTCATGGCTGACTTGATTCAGAGAATGTTGAAGTGCATCGGGCGTTAACCATTCCTTTGGTAGACAACGTTGAAGGAATGGTACACAAGAACTGAAATATGCAAGGCGATTTACCCAACCTGGTATTTCTTGACCACACAAAATCTACAATTTAGAATAAAAATATAATATTAGCATTGTATTAATTAATAAGTGATTATATACTATTTTTATATACATACAAGTGTAAGTTGACTACTAAAATGATTACAATTTTTATTCATTAAATGGTAACGATCACCCCTAAAATCTTTTCCTAATTCAGTAACGATCCTAGTTACATCTTCTTCTGTGAAATCTGTATATCCAATGTGTACTGATTGCCTACGATGATGAAAAATAAACATACTCTTCTTTAGAAATAATATCAACATATCCTTACTAAAATATCTGTACCTATATCTAAATTGCTCCCCTAATTCTTCAGCAACTCTTGGTGTGATTTCAAAAATTCCAGAAATTGGTTTAGAATGACCTCCATATGCATATTCTGCAAATTGATTGAAATAATTCAGCTAATTTTAATAGATTCAGATGGAATTAAAAGAAATATATATATATATAAAACATTATGTAAATATACCTGTTCCATATATTTCAACTCCAGAATGAAATACACCCAATCCAATTGGAGTAGTATATTCATTTATCCAATACTGAAACACGAAATGTATTTATTACAAATGTGCATCAATAAAAATTAAAAAGATATTTTAAAAAGAAACTTAAAAGGACCTTACCATATCATAAACATTAAGAATTATTGGCTCTCTAGCCATTTTTGGTATTAATTCTTCGTTATCCTGTGGATAACCCAGACAACTAGGAAAAGATAGGTTGCAGCTAAGACCTGACGAAAACATCATAGAGATACCTATACTTGAAGAGATGAACAGCAGCACTACCTATGTTCCAACGCACCTAATAAGCAAATACATTTGCTATATACTGGATCTACACTAAGCACATAACCAAAAATTACTACAAAATTTAAAAAAGAATGATGAAATAGGAAACATCTTATTTATAATTTTCAAGTAAGTATCTGTGGTTAATTTTATATCAAATCACCTAAATGATTCATATGGGGTTACACAAATAAAAAACAAAAATGTAATAAAATACATATTATTGTTACATAAATATTATTTATTAACTACATAATAATCAGTAACTTCATGCTTTTCTATGTAAAATTATATTATACTTTGCAAAATACATAGCAACAAATATGTTTTTCTAATAACAATATTGCAACTTATAGAATCAAAATGATAAAATCACCAATATTATGTTACTTAATCTATCATAAATGCTAAACAATAACAATACCAAAGTCAAAATATAAACAAATGATATTTTGAATTAGATTTATAATTTACTACTCTGTTATTGTATTAATGAAGTTGTAGGATGCAGAATGTTCAAAGATAATCAGCAAATTTATTAGTAATATTGTCTGACAATGAGTAAGGAACTAAGAATGGATATACTTCACAATAGAAGAAAAAAAGTGTATTGTGAATCATCAAGTCAAAGGTTTTGTTAAATGATATTTTTAAATAAATTGTATTACCTAAAAAAGTCGAGATTTTAGCACTATCACATTTCTTTATAATTTGTCACAGAATAGTTCAGTACATGTTAATCTCCAAATTTTCTTGAAAGAATTGTTGATGTTAAATATTGCAGAAAGACATTGTACAAAATTGCAAGTAAGTATACTCGCAATAAATTAGCGATCTTCTTGAAATGTCAATAACAGTTATTAAGTTCTTATGAAAATTTAATAACATAGATTTAATAACTGAAATTCGTAAAAATTACGTGCAAATAGCATACATTATGTCAATAAGAAGTCTCTCCTCACTTGAAGTGTGTTAAATTATCAACAAAATCCTTCTTGAAATTTGTAATTATGTATCTTAACTATTCATTACGTATTTTTAATCACAAACTTAATTAAATGCACATAACAAACATTAACATTAAAGATGTTTTAAAGGAATTTAGACAAATTGTTTATAATTAGAAACGAATGGCATTTGTCTAGGGATATCGAATAATTGTCTCTAGTCTAGATGAATATCAAAAGTTGAATAATTACTAAAGAATTTTTTTTTCGAAAGTTATACATATGTATGTAAAATTTTACCAAAATATTAAATAATATATTTTTCTATAATTTTCCTATACTGTTGCTAATTCTAACATTTTTTATTTACACAATTTTAATATTTTTAATACTGATAAAATATAATTCGCAAGACATAAGCATAATAAAAAAATGAAATAATTAAAACAAACTTTTTAATATTATTTATAAATATAACTAAATATATATAAATAGCACAATGTCATTATTAAAATTTTTATTAATAAATTTACATATCATTGTTATTTGAGACTATCTTAAATTAATCTTATTCTTAATTGAAATATTAAGTATAGCATTATTCATCTGTTTTTATGATTAATGCTATCAGATAAGCACTGTGGACAGAAAGGAAATTTCCTCTCTGCTATAAATACATATGAACATAAATATTTAGTGATAAAAGATTGTTTAGACATATTTCTAAAAAATTCAGATTACTTGTTTAAAATAGAAAATTGGTACAGCAATCAGTTATATTTCTAAATTTTTTAAAATAATTTTTTATGATACATATGTATCTAGAGATATATAGTATATAATTTGATATATAGTATAGAGATATATAGTATACATAATGAAATGCATGTGATTTAATTTTGTTATCCTGTTACTATTGAGATAGATACGATTTATTTGAAACATTTTACCACACATTACAAACAATTTATGAAACAAAATATTACTCTTATAAATATACACATATATAAGCATATATAGCACACGTTCTTTTACTAATTTTTAACACTCTTTACATAATCATTGTTCAATTTTTCTTATTTTTAAACGAGTGTGCGAATATTATATTAAATATGCTACCATAAATACAATATTTCCAGATTTTGTATTTTGTATAAAGATATTTACAATTATTTTATTCTATTTTACTAAGAAAACATTTTCTAGATTTAAAATACGTAATTAAAGTTTAATTATTTACATATTTAAACACCTCATGATAATGTCTTTTTGTAAGAAATTTCAAAAATTAATATATTTGTTCAATGAATGACCAAAGTGTAATTTGCTTCATATAAATAAAATAATATCACAATTGAGTTTTTATAGAATTTAATAATCTATTCTTATCTAATTGTTGTGCATATATTGAACTACTGAGAAATTTAATAGTTTCAGTCATCATGTTTAATATATAACTTTGCAACGTATGTATGTTCAAATAAGTATATAATTACATAAATATATTGTGAAATATTTGTCAATGCCACTCTTTAAAAATCAATTCTCTTAAGTATTGTTAATATATTTAAGATATCTTTCTAAATATATTCCTTAATATGTGTATGACACCACCTCTTCCTTATACAAATTTATTTTTATGCAGGTCAAAAGTCTTAGTTATAAAGCTTATTATTGCATACATAATGTTGCAAATCACAAATATTCTAAGATATAAACTAAATGAGGTACAAGTAGAAAATTTTGCCAATTATAAAATGCAAGCCTAAATACCTACATTCTTAATAAGTAAATGTATTTGTACCTACATAAATGTACAACATATATTTATAAATGTATAAACAGAGGAGAACTGTATCTAGATTATCTTTAATGCATACATATTTGGAATATACAGCAACTGTGTAAATCCAAATATTGTTACTTATTATAGATGTGTATACATGAATATAAAGTACTTAAAATATGAGTGTTTTACGATAATCGAGTCGTACAAAACATTTTTAAATAGGAAATATGTAGTTTTAACTAGTCTGAATAAAATTTATAATTTAACAGAACAAATACAAAAATATAAAAATTTATGATTAGTGAAGTAAATATATATAAGTAACAAAACTGTTCATATAATGTAAATTATAAATTGCCTGAATAAAATTTGGTAACATTATATGATCGCATACTTCAATTATTGTTTTAATTTAATTTTAAATTCGTATTTCTAAAATTTTATGAATAACTATGTATCATAATCTTCATCCAAAGTTGCAGTACGAGTAAAATTAGATGTTGGTTGATTATTTGTATTTAAACTTGATGTATTTGTACTTAAATTCATAGGTTTAACTTCTGTATAAAAATTAGGTTGACTAATTTGAAATGATGGAGGCACAGACATTTGAAATTCTGGAACTTGAGGTACAGTATTTTTTACCATTTCATTACGAGTACCTGGATTATATATTCCAGTTCCATCACTGTTTTCTTCATTTTCATTTTCTTTCTTTACTTTAGTAGTTAATCCCATTTCCTGCTTTGAAAATCTATAAAAATATAATAATATATTTAAAATTTACAAATACCAAGTAAGTTATTTAATACTTACCCTGTATCTGGCTGTTGTATTGTAGGTAAATAAGTTGATGTATTTGATACATTTGTATTCATTGGAGCAGGTGTTAGAGGTGGTGTAGGTACTTCCTCATCAGGTCCTGATACATCTGGTAAAGAATTTACTAAATCTTTTAAAAAATCAAAGCGGTTCTCTGATAAAATACATTGTTTCCTACAAAGAGATCAACAAATCAGTTAAAACCAAGTACTGAATTAATTTTAACTCAATTTTAAAAAAATCTTACATATGAGAAGGACTCAAAGTTTTGGCATTTTTAGCATTTGTAATTTGCATGGATTTTGTAAGTAATGAATGTACAAACAGTTCCAATGTTCTAGGTATACAAATAGTTAAGGAATTTGCTTTCAAAATAAAAATATATCATTAACGGCTTAAAGATCTACGATGTAAACAACAATAATTCTTATATTGGCTTATGTTGGCATTAAAATTATTATTCTTATTATTAATTTAAAAAGGATATAAATTATAATCGGCACTGGTTGTGCAACTTTTCCAATTTCTTCATCAGTTTGCATAATTTTTTTTATTCTGCCCTAAATACATTTGTAAAAATAGGTTAGTCATATAATTAAAAATTAATATGTATATGGTCTTTTTAATTATATATTTCTTTATCATTTAAATGAGATTACAAGTAAATTACATTATTTTTATTCAAATTATAAACATGTAATTTATATATGAAGTGCATTTTCGTGAAAAACTTCTCCAAACTATACAGAGTATTTTAATACTCACTGCTGGAAAACGTGCATTATATTTTTTCTTTTTACTTGGCATTGTCACAAAGTGTAGTACTTCACCTTACGCAAATTGTGTATAAATAAATCAGAGAATAAAACTTTGAAAAAATAAACGCGTTTATTGTATGTTGTATTTGCAGGAATCAAGGTGTTCCAAAACTTGACATGTATCTGTAACCTCTATGATGTATACATATACATTTTCAATAATCGTAAAGTATTTTACGTTCGTAAATGTAATACTTAATGCTACATTCATAGAATATAAGCTACTATGTGTTCTAAAAATACTTAAAACCAACATGTAATTTCAGATCTTAATTTATGAATATTAATATTCATTGCAGCAATATATATATTTTCGTATTTATTGTATTAATATATATTTCCCTTTTCTGTGCAAAAATAATTTATGCTTATTGATTATACATAAAATTACTAATGGCATATCGTAAATTAAAGATGTGCGTGACCTTTCCAAGATTTGGGGAATTTAGCGTGATTGCAGCCAGTGGAGTACTGGAGCATTCTGCACGCGTTACAACTTCAAACAATTTTGAAACTAATTCGATGTTTAAATTTATGTTTAAGACTAGTTATATTTAAAACTAAATATTTATAATAGATTGACAACTTTAACAAGATTTATGCTGTAATGAAATTTATTGAGACGCTGAGCTCAGCGTGACGGTTCTAACGATTCTTTAATTTTGAGTCGCAGAGTAGCTCATTTATCTACTTGAATTTACATGATAATCTATGATTAATTTGTTATCCAATAAGACAAACTCTTATTAACTAATGCTAATAAATTTTATTTTGATTGGAGTTTACAATATTAGAAAGCTAGCGATTTATGCTTTGGCAAAGCACTTTACCATGGTAACGAAAGTAAATATGAAATTCGAAAGTAATCACAGTTGTTACTGAGAAATAATTTTGTCATTAATCAATAAATTTGTTAAATAGCTTTTGTTCGTTGCCTCGGCTATGTTGCTGTACAGTTAAATTCGCGGCGCAAGAATTAACCCTATTATCATACAAAATATTCACGGTAGAGAGAGCCACAGGCGTACACCAGTTCAAAACAAAGATGACTACTTCTTATAATCCATCCTTACAAAATAATGTGAATTTAGGAACAATGATCTAGTTACAAATTTGAATTTGAGACTGTGTCAAATTGCGATTGTTTTTCTTTTAACTTTGTACTAATTTGATTATATGTAAAAGTTTTATACCTGTAACCTATTTTTAAAATACTAAAACGATAACGATGTTTTTTCAAATATATATAATTTAAACTTCCATTTTAATGAATACTAGATGAATAACGTCGTATTATACTAATGTTTTTAACCTATAATTGTAAATAATTTTAATTAATAGATCAAATTTATTTTATAATGGCAAACTCAAGCAATGATAGAGTTGTCGTTTTAATAGACATGGATTGCTTTTTTTGCCAAGTTGAAACAAAACTTCAACCAGAATATGCTGGAAAACCACTGGCAGTTGTACAATACAATCAGTGGAAATTAGGAGGGTAAAATATTTCAGATAACATAAATTATACTTAAATAACTTAAGTAGATAGATTAGAGAGAGATTCTAAATATTGCTAATATTTTTTAAATAGGATAATTGCTGTTAATTATGAAGCAAGGGAATATGGTGTTACAAGACACATGAGAGGTGAAGAGGCAAAAGAAAAATGTCCAGATATTGTTTTAGCTAGTGTACCATGCCTTCGTGGAAAAGCTGATACATCAAGGTATATCAAAAAATTATGCATTTAATA